TGACGATAGCAAGTGTCACAATGGAACCAAAACAAAAAACCAAACAGACACACACCTAAAATACAGGACCAAGCTCTGTGAACCAGCAGACGGAAGTAGCAGCTGGAGGCTCACAAGATCATAGAATCCTAACATCAAAGGAAACTTACAGTCCGACCCATCTCCCAAGGCACAAAGTCCACCTCTAGCGTCCCTGGTATGGCCAAATGATTCAAGCTTCCAGGGACAGGAGTACCAGGGCCGCGCATGGCACCCCATTTCAGAGTTTCCCTTACACAGAGTGGGGGGCTCCTTATGGCACTTTGACTCACTGGTCTGCTATGGCCCCTTGGGCCTGGTGTGCTGAGCCATAGAAGCCAGAAATCATGTCCCCCCTTAAGTCTTCTTTCTACTCTTCACATGACTCAGTTTCTAGATTTTGGACATCCTGGCCACTCACGTCTGGATGAGCTCTTTATCCAGAATCTGATGCTCCGGACACATTGTTTATTAATTCAACAGAAGATTGTGGTACATATTGCCCAGGGGTTAAGAGCTCAAGTTCTAGAATCACACAATCTTGGCTTCAAGTCCTGGCTGCTCTACTTAGTGGCTCTGTAACCTCAGGTAGTTACTTAACCTCTCTGAACTTCAGTTTCCTCCACTGTAAAATGAAGATAAAACTAATAGTTCCTTCACAGAGGAGTGAATGATATAGTGTGTGTAAATGACCCCCCCTCCCCCAGTGCCTGGCATATGGTAAACGCCACGAATTTTGGCAGCCACATTCGACTGACAGATGATTCACACTGAGCCTGTACTTAGCGAAAAGCCAAGGGTCTTTTTCACATGAACTACTCACATTTATCCTTATTAAACTTCATTTTGTCAACGTCAGTCCACTGTCTCATCCTGTTCACATGGGTTCTGCCACTACACAGGAGCTAGCTCATCTAGCTTGGTCACCTGCAAGTCTAATAACATGCCTTTTATATTTTCATCTGAGATCTTGCTCCAGTCTGATGCCAACATGTTACTCAAGATTCTTTAGGTCCAGCTGTTCAACCAGTGCTCAAGTTATTCCACGTTGGGACATCATCTAGCCCACACGGGCTCCTCTGAGTGAAAAAATTTTTCTCCCTGGAAATTTTGAAGGCTCCAAGGAAAAAGTTAATTTATATTCAGTAACTTCTGCTTGAAACCCAGGGAAATTATAAAACCTTTCAAAAAGACCATAATCTGAAAAGTGGTCAACATAAAGCTTGAGCACCGGGCAGTGTAAATTTCATTAATCTAGAACATCCCCTCATGGGGAGTTGTGTACCTCCTCCACAATGCCGGAAAATGAGGCAGGACTGCAGAGGGTATTCTGTACTTTTCCATGTGGTTTCTACTTTCTCTCTACTAAAACAGAAACTGTTCAAGGTCAGGAGCCCTTTCTATCATTTCGGATCTCTTCTCAGCACCTGGGTCCCGGCAGGCGGTCTGAGCTTGGCATGCAACTCTTAACTCCTGCAGGCTGACGGATCATTACTATAAACATTAGCCATTTATAAGTACTTGTGGCGGTTAATTGTATGTGCTAACTTGAGCGTCCAGATTAAACATTGTTTCCGGGTGTGACTGTGAGGGTGTTTCCGGATGAGATGAGCATTTGCACCGGGGGACTCAGTAAGGCAGATGGCCTCCCCGGTGTGGACAGACATCATCCAGGCTGCTGAGGGCCTGCATGGAACAAAAGGTGGAGGGAGCAGGAATCTGCCCCCTTTTCCAGCCTGAATATTTGAGCTGGGACATCTCAGCTCATCTTCTCCTGCCCTTGGACCGGGATTGACACCATCAGCTCGCTTGGTTCTCAGTCCTTTGTACTCCCACTGAATTACACCACCAGCACTCCTGGGTCTCCAGCCCATGGCATGTCTCAGCCTCCATAGTCAAGTGAGCCAATTCCTCATAGTAAATCTAACTCTATCTCTGTCTCTTCACACACACACACACACACACACACACACACACACACACACACACACATCCTTCCTTTACGTGGAGGTGGCACTATGGACACGTCATCAAGAAACACTCCAAGGCCAGGAGCAGTGGCTCACGCCTGTAATCCTAGCACTCTGGGAGGCTGAGGCAGGCTCATCGCTCAAGGTCAAGAGTTCGAAACCAGCCTGAGCAAGAGTGAGACCCCCGTCTCTACTATAAATAGAAAGAAATTAATTGGCCAACTAATATATATACAAAAAATTAGCTGGGCATGGTGGCACATGCCTGTAGTCCTAGCTACTTGGGAGGCTGATGCAGCAGGATTGCTTGAGCCCAGGAGTTTGAGGTTGCTGTGAGCTAGGCTAATGCCATGGCACTCTAGCCAGGGCAACAGAGTGAGACTCTTTCTAAAAAAAAAAAAAAAGAACCACTGCAAGCAAGACCCATGAATTGAGGGCTGATGCAAGGATGGCGCTGGGCTGTAGACAGGGCACAGGACATTCTAAATCCCAGAGTGTGTGACTCTTGGTGGAGAGAGCACATGTCTACAAAGAGTTTATGTCTGGGGTATCCGGACATTGAAAAGATGAAGACATCAAATAGGCTGAAAGGGAAGGGCTTACCACTTTCCACTGAGGCCTTTGAAAGGCTTTGCTGAAGAGAGTAATTCAGTAGGATTTTAAAAGTTGAAGGCATTGGAGAGAACTTTCCAAGGTGGAAGAATGATCTGAGTCGTGGTAAGTGGATGGCAAGCACAAGGCGGGCTTGGGTGTGACAAGCAAATAATTTGGGGGCTCCCGAAGAGCACTGGCCTTGCTTTCCCCATGAGCATGTCCCTGTGGCACATGCTGGTGTAGGGATGCAGCTGGTGGTTGTGGATTAGGTCATTTCTCTGCAAAGTTGACTAGGTCACAAAGGGCTAACCCATATCCTCTACCTTATTGGCATTTCCCTCTAATCTGAGCTAAGAAGGTCAGCTAAACAAACTATTTTTGGACTAAGCTGCTCCCTGTAGCCCAACTGCTAAATATCACCACCAGCCAAAGCTACTTCATCAGACAGATGGATTAGGATTTTTCACCTCTAATGATAAAACATGCCCTCTGGCTCCCCTGCCCACAGCAATAGGAACACAGCATCCCTTCCTAGACAGTCTTCCCTTTCTTCTCACAAAGTCATGTTACCCTTGCAAACTACTGCCTACTTATAGGTGTGGCTTTCCTGGCTGGGTAAAAGGGTGGCCCTTGGGTAGCTGTTGCCTAGCAACATCTCTACTGTGTGGATGGGCTGACGGGCCAAGCAGGGGATTCCTGCTGTAGGCAGCCCTTGGAGAAAGAGAGACATTGTCAGCTTGAAGGCTAAAGATTGCTGTTGGCTTTTGGGCTGCCTGTAGTGAAATACAAAGATTAAGCTTCTTAATTAGAATAATAGTCATCTCACTTTAAAATCTTACTTAGGATTCAGTTCTTTCTAAAGTTTGTTCTTTTTCTCTACTCTCTACTCTCACCCTTGTCCCCATCAGTGTTTCATTCCACAATCTTATTTTCATTTTCATTTATTTATTTATTTTTTTGAGACAGAGTTTCACATTGTTGCCCGGGCTAGAGTGCCGCGGCGTCAGCCCAGCTCACAGCAACCTCAGACTCCTGGGCTCAAACGATCTTCCTGCCTCAGCCTCCTGAGTAGCTGTGACTACAGGCATGTGCCACCATGCCCGGCTAATCTTTTTTTCTATATATTTTAAGTTGGCCAATTAATTTGTTTCTATTTTTAGTAGAGATGTGGTTTTGTTCTAGCTCGGAACTGGTCTCTAACTCCTGACCTTGAGCGAGCCACCGTCCTTGGCCTTCCAGAGTGCTAGGATTACAGTCGTGAGCCACCATGCTGGGCCCATTTATTTCTTTTTTGAGAGAGGGTCTCCCTCTGTCACTTGGGCTAGAATGCAATGGCATTGTCATAGCTCACAGCAACCTCAAACTCCTGGGCTCAAGCAATCCTCCTGCCTCAGCCTCCTGAGTAGCTGGGACTATAGGCCTGCACCACCCAGGTTAATTTTTAAATTTTTTGTAGAAATGGGGTCTCACTATGTTGTCCAGGCTGGTCTTGAACTCCTGGCCTCAAGTAATCCTCTTGCAGTGGTCTCCCAAAGTGCTGGAATTATAAGCATGAACCACACTTCACAATTATAAAGAGAAACCTGCAGAACAAGTTTGTATACTCCTCTTAAGAAAAGTCATATTTAAGGTTAATTTTTCTTTTAGGCAAGCACAAAACCCCATATGACCTCTTCCTTTTTCATAAAAGAAGTGGGGGCGGAATTGGAGCAACTGCCTGGTGATTCTGGTTATAGGCTAACTTTTACAGAGATAACCTATTTACAGAGATAACTTTTACAGAGATAAATCTAGAAATAAACACCGCTGAGAGTTTTGGGATTCTATTTTTTTGGAGAGCCTGAGGCTATAGCAACTCCAAAGCAACAACAACAACCACCAAAAATAAAAAATTAAAAAAAGAGAGAGAGAGAAAGAACAAAAGAAACGTAAGACCAAAACCTAAAACCTGGTCGGTTGACTCCATTCAGTAGAAAGACAAGTTGTTCATTTGCAGCCAAGTACAACCATTAGGGGATCACCTAATCTATCTTTGGATTTTCAAATAAGTTCTCTCATCCATTATTAAGGCATCCATAGCCCAAGCTTCATTTTTCCTTCCTCATATCACAGAAGTGGAGAGACCCACCGTTCTTAGTAACAACCCCTGTGTTTGTAACACCATGAAGCCACATAATACTTTATGGGTATCTTCTTTTGGTACGGTGAGCAAGAGTATAAATTTTGAAATCTAGTAGGTATGGGTTTGAATCCAGTTATGCTACTTTCTACTTTGTGATTTTGGGTAAGTTTCTTAACTCTCCAAGCTTCTTTCCTCCTCTGTAGAATAGAAATATTAACACCCACCTTGTAGAGAACCTTGCAGAGCTCTCTGGATTATTGCATAACAAATGTAGCACTTCTGCTACAGCGCCTGGTTCTTAGCGGGCATTCAAACACCAGTTCCCTTTGCTGTTCCTTCTGTGCCTTTGCCCGTAATCTCTCCCCACCTCTAGCATTCAGGCTATTCATCTAACCAGAGACCAGGTGCTATAAGGAGACAGCCCAAATGAAGCCAGGTGTTAATGAATGAGGATCATCATTCGCCTTGCTCCTGGGTTACGGCTGTAACCCTTTCCTTTTTCTTTATTTATGGTAGGCTTAAACGTTTGCCCTGAGATTTCCCACTGACAATTTCTGTTTGAGCTTTTGAGAAAGCCACTGAGAGTAAACAGAGAGGACTCTAGGGAGGGACAGTCAAGGATAGAATATGCGGGAAGCTTGACTTGGGGAAGAAGGAACAGAAATGGTTTTTGGAGGGGTAGATGAAAACGCTGTCAGGCCTCAGGGAAACATGGCAAGTCTCTCTCTGTCTCGACAAGCATTTATTGAGCACCTGCTGTATTGAGACCCAGTTTTATAATGAGGTGCGTGAGAACTGGTAGGCCCAATGGCTTTGTGTGCTTATGGTCTAAAGGGACAGACAAAAGACTGAAAAAGATCAACTGCAGCCTAGTTCTAGGTGTCAATCATACAGTTGTTAGAAGGTTTCAGACTGAGGGAGCAACAGGATGTGTTTAATCAAGTAAGGCTTCCTGAAAGAAGCAAGTTCTGAGCCAGTTTGAAGGAGACGAGGGTCATGGGTGGAAAGAGAGGAACAGCAGGTGCCAAGACCTAGTGCTCAGGGGCTGTTCCAGTGGGTGACAGAGCCCCCTCCTCCTCAATTCTGTGTGCATCTCCCTTCACCCGGGGCCCTCTTTCACTGGCCCTGCAGGGGAGCTGGGCTGCAAGCGGTCTAACCTCGCTGGCTCGGAGGACTCCGAAGAACGGGTAGAGGAAGGCAGGCACCAGGGCTGCAGCTCCAAGAGGCACCGCCTCAGACACCCAGTAGACAGCAGTCACGATCAACACGTAAGCACACGCGGCCTCCTGGAAGGGGAGGAGAGAGGTGGTCAGTCACAGGGACAGTCACTGCCACTGAGCATGCAAGTGAGACCCAGGGGCCGAGGCAGTAGGCACTGGGCTCTGAGACGGGCACCAGGATACAGCCCTGGAAGTGCCACGCTGGGCTTGGCAGGCAACTGTGGTGGGGACGCGGTGAGGCCCATCCCTTTGTGGGTGACATTATGGCTGCTCCTTGGGGTGACCAGTGCCTGGCATGTAGTTTGCACGGATGTGCAGCAAGGCCACCAGTGGACTGTTGCCCCATCACAGCTCTGCTGGCCCTGAACCTGCCGAGGGTGGGGATTGCAATGAATTGCAGCGTTCAGACCCAAGACCATAAACTATACAGGCGGAGTTGGATGCTTTAACTTGGACCGGGACATAATATATTGACGTCAAGCTGATCGATACTAAACGTTCCTGGGTGGCTGAAGGTAAGGGTCAGTATGTGTGATTGGTTCACATGTGAGCCCTGAGATCGGCCATCCTGAGTTAAGCACGCATGCATAAAACATGACGACATGGGGGCATGTGGTGTGTACCCGACTGAAGAGAGGCAGATCAGTAAGAAGTGAAATTTACAAATAATCCAAAAGGTGGCTTCCATCCTACGCTCTCATAGCCCTGGGATCCTGGGGTGTATCTGGGCAAGGCCTGGAATGCAGAGCCCCAACCAGAGGAGCTTTGCTTTCATTTGATCATATATTGGCATTATATGGTAAGATTTTATTTGGAAAAAAACAAGGCCACATTGCTTTAAAAATGAATAAATGAAGTTAAATCTCCCTGCTTTAGACTATTTGCTGGAACAATTCAGGAGGAAATTTTAATCAGTTAACTTGTTAAGCAAGAACTGGCCGACTATTTTTCCCCTTCGATTTTTAATCTGAGGTTCCATTATGTGGTAGTAGCATCTGGGGATTGAATGCTTCCCTGGGTGCCTCTTTGAAGAGCTAGTAAGGGAGCCCAGCCGAGGGAAGGGAGGATTGCAGAGGTAGGCAGCCGTCCTGAGAATGGGACCCTCATTTTGGATGAGGAAGGAACAGGAGCTCCTAACTGAGTAGTTTCTCAACCTTGGCACAGTTGACATTTAGGACCAGATAGTTTCTTGCTGCAGGGGGCTTTCCTATATGTTGTGAAATATTTAGCAGTGTCCCTGGCATCTACCCACTAAATGCCAGTAGCATCTCTTCAGTTGTGACAACAAGAATATCTCTAGGCTGGGCGCAGTGGCTCACGCCTGTAATCCTAGCACTCTGGGAGACCGAGGCGGGCAGATTGCTTGAGGTCAGGAGTTAGAAACCAGCCTGAGCAAGAGCAAGACCCCATCTCTACTATAAATAGAAACAAATTAATTGGCCAACTAATATATATACAAAAAAAAAAAAAAAGAATATCTCTAGACATTGCCAACTGTCCTTTGGGGGCAGGATTATCCCCGGTTGAGAGCTAGTACCCTAACCAGGGTCCACTTCTCATTGCCCTTGGGCTCCATTCCACCCGCCTGATGCCACACAAACATCCTTCTATGAAGGGACCAAAGAGAGCCATCTATCTAGAAGGGAAGGCCTGGAAAATTTCCAGTGTTTTCCCCAGCACACTTGCTTTGCTGGTTGCACAACCCAGGGGTGCACAGAGCAAATAAATCCAACATTCTTATCAAAAGCCCATCCTCCTTAACCTTGGCCTCTAGTAATGCTGAGAGCTCCGAATGGCGCTGATTAATGGTGCTGAGAAAGGTCATAGGCTTACTCTTGAGAGAGGTTACTGTCCAAGGGCCTTTGTAATGGAAACATCACTGAGTCCTGTGACTCAGAGGGCCATTTATAGAAAATCCAAGTTGGCTGTGGGCTCCTCAATTTTTACATAGTTCTAAACCATCAGGGCTGAGTCTGACCTGCCCTGAGGCTGGCTGCTGACCAAGGAACCCGACAAATCTTGTTCTGTTTATCGCTCCTGGAGTTCAGAACAGGCGTCCTCAAACTCTTGCATAAAAGTTACAAAAGGTCACTGCATCAGTGAGGGGCAGCAGGCGTGATTACCCGGCCTGGCAGGAAGGGACCCTGTTCCCTCCTGATCCTCATGGATTATGGGGTTGGGAGTTGAGAAATGGGAACTGGGCCCAGCGATTGTTGACTGTCTCCCCCTGAGATTTCCTCTGGGGCCAAATATCAGAGAGCAGATAGAACTTTTGGAAGTGCTGATAAGACAACAGAATCAATAGTGAAAAAAAAATGGCTCCATTTGGAAAAGAATGCAGTTTAGAGAAATGACTTCTTTGCTGTAGAAATGAGAAAAAAAAAAAAAAACACAACTACTTAAGAGAGTTCAAAGCCCACTGTTCTTATCCCTTTTCTGGAAAAGAGAAAGAATGGCAGGTCTTAGTTCTAGTTGAAGAGAGAGAGGACAGAATGTCTGTCCCTCACTGGGAAGCCCTCATCCCCTCTTGAGAACCCTTGGTCCTTGTCCTGGTCATTACAGGGCTAAAAATTAGGGGCAGGGGCAGGAAGAGAAGATGGGGAGAGAGGGAAAGAGAGAGAGGAAGGAGGAGAGGAGGGGGAGAAGGAGAGATACAAAGGAGACTTTCCTTTTACCAGGCTTAAGTTTGATTTGAATTAAGAGAATTTGGGCAAGCTGAGCTAAACTTTTTGATTGTGAACATCAGTAAAAATTGGAATAGGTTCCTGGAGGAAGTCACCAGGCTACCTTCCTCCAGCAGTATCAAAAACAGGATAAACCATCACCAGTTTTATCTGGACTTTCCTTAGAGCAGAATAACAGACAAGAGAAACCTTTAGATATATTCCCATGTATTTCTCACTTAGCTCATCCATGGAATCTCTGTGAACTGCCTTTTGCCCCTTCTCAAGCTTCTTAAAATCAGTAGGTAATCTTGTATTCAGACAACCCAAAATACTCTGCAAAGTTTGACTGCAGGAGTCTGGTGTCGCAAGCATCTAGCCAGTGGCTGGCAAGAGGCTCCATTAATGTCAGCTGAACTGATTTGGACTCCTCTGCGGGCTATCAAGTCTCTCTCATCTTGTGGGGAGAATATTCTGGAACCCCCAGGCCCTTTATCAATGTCACTGGTCCCTTATCGGAAGGTGTATGGGGCTTGGTGAGTATTTAGGCAAAGCCTTCAAGGGACAGTGTGGTCAATTCTTTTTGCTCCTGTTTACAAATAAAGGAAAGAGTTCAAAAGTGGCACTTCCCTGGGTAGGACGCTTCCTACTCTGCGACTAACTTAGGCTTGGAACTGCTCCTTTTCCATGCAGTGCAGTTCGACCACCCCAATGATAGCCCAGTGACTCCAACTTCAGTGGAAGGGGCTTGAAGTCTGTTCATGTGCTATCATAAATGACCGGGAGGCCTTTTAAAAAATTTAACTTGGAAGGTTTGAGTGCAACTTCTATCTCCCTGGGGACACTGAGGGCTGAGTTAGAGACACTCCATATTGTCCCCTCTTCTTTTGTAATATGGTAGACAGAGTCTGGACCTCTGGTTTTAGAGAGCTGGGCAAGAAAAAGGGGAAGGTCATTCTGACCCCTACAATGTAGCTGCGGTTGTCACTTTGAAGAACCATCAAAGCTGTAGGCCAAGAGCTCTTCCCCAGGTACTCGGCCACTTGTCTCAACTCCAGCCCAGAGCAAGAGAATCCATCTTGGAATTTTAAGGATTAAATATCAGAATCTAAAGTTTGATGCAAGGGGTGAGAGACACAGTATGTGCTGGGCATCTAGTTTGTGCTCTTTGTGGACACTGGCCAAGGTCCCCCAAGGATAGGGCTGCCCTAAGGAGGGGACATGAGGTTCCTGAGACTGCTATGGAGAGGAGGGCAAGGTGTCTCTTGGTAGCACTCCCTTAAATCGACTTGACATTGAGTTAAAAAAAAAAAACAAAACAACAAACAAAACACAAAACAAAAGCCATGAAAAGAAAAGAAAAAAAAAATCAGGCCCATTTGGACAAAGCAGAAAAGCGTTCGGCTCAGGAAAAACGTCAGCAGCAATCACTGTCTGCTAATCCCAGCCCAGTTTTAATCAGCGTCTCCCTGGCACGCTGGGGTATTTATTTTATAAAAGATTTAAGCCAGTTTGTTTTCAAGAACCATCCTAATCCCCCCTATTTAACTTTTTAACTCAATCTTGGTTACCAAGTTACTCAGGCGGCCAAGTGGAAGACGCCCTTCCCCTCCCACAAACACGATTAACTTGTCTTAGCTTATTTTTCCTAAAATCTCAAGGTCAGTGCCAGCTGGGGGAAGGAGTGAAGCCACAGACAGGGCAGAACAGAGAAGGTAAGGGAAGAGAGGGGAGCCCAGTTTGGAGCCAAAGCTCACACAAGCCGGGTCAGGAATTAGGGCCCAGTCTAGAGTATGGGTCTCTGACTTCTTTTCTGTAGTGTCATTTTACGTCTGTCCCTCAGGAGCGCAGAGAAGAAAACACAGAGGACACAAGGAATTCAAGGCCACACACATGGGAACATGACGGACTCTGCTTTCAACTTACAGGTTCCTTCCCTAAAGTTCACAGGGCACTTAAGGGACTAAAAGTGGTCACCAGACTCCTCCAAGACCCACCACAGGCTCCACGTTCCCTGTCTGCCCCAGCCTGGCCCTCCGCGTCATTCCTGGGGGCTCTTCCTGGGTCTCCATGTGGCTCTCAGATAAAGACGGTCACATGTTGGCTCCTGACAAATACAGGCGCACCAGCCTGTCCCCATGGGCCCTTCCGCTGGCCCCTGCCCCGTGCGGTGGCCAGCAGTCCCGGCAGCCACAGCCCCTTCCCTGGGGGCCGTGGGGTTGGGGAACTGGGGCTGTGGTGGAGGGGTGAAAATGGCAGCTTTTAGGAAGAAGGTATGTCCGTTTCCTCCAGAAAAACACTTCCATGTGTTCCAACCCACAAAAAAGCCAGCTTTAGGGACGGTAGGAGCCTCCCGTGCCCTCCCCGTCTCGCCCTCCCGCCTGGTCCCCGGCCCGCAGGTGCGCGTGGGGGACAGGTGGGTACTCACGCTGCTGGGGTGCAGGACGGGCAGAGGCAGCAGCAGGAGCGGGACGCAGACGACCAGCAGCAGCTTCCGGGCGCGGAACAGGCCGTGCAGCAGCCCCATGGCGGCCCTGCCTGCTCTCCAGCGCGCCCTCGGCCCTCGCCACGCTCCGCTCTGTCCAGAAAGACTTCTTAAACCTCTCTTGGCTTCCAAGAGCCCTCTTTCGTCTTGGGGCAGAATGGGAGGGCAGTTACACCCCCCGGTCTCCACCAAAGGCTGGGCTCCTGGCCTCCCGCGTTAGGTGGGATTGATGAGCATAGTTTTATGACCAGCAAAAAGGAACTGGGAAAGGATTATAAACGGGGGCATAGTGGGTCCCCTCTCTGCTCGATCAGTAATAGAGTAACTTCATTCCAGGTGTCAGCAAAAAAGCCCTCCTAACCAATTAAAATGACACCTTTGCTGCTGCTGTTCGGCCTTGAAGAAATCATTTAAAAGCTTTAAAAAATTAAAAAATACTGAGAGCCTATGGTGCTCTCCATCATTTTTCCTCCCTCGGATGGGCTGTTTTGGGGAGTACCGGTTTCATCTCCTACCTGTGCTTGCTGTTGGTAAAAATCTAGTAGCCCTTCCCTTAAAACAAGCCTCTGAGTTTGTCAGAGGTGCCCGCAGACTTCAGATGGGCTGTTCGTCTCTCTCGGGGCCTGATACCTTAGCTCGGTTCAAATTTCTTTCCTTCAAATTGGTTTCCTACTTATAATTTGCCTTGAGCCTGGGCCTCCAAAGCAGGAAAAAAAAAAAAATTCCCAAGACATTCCTTTTTGTCACAGGACAACAACTTGCAGGAGGCCCACCTTTAACTTTCATCCACCAATGGGGAGCTGGGAGCTCCGGCCACTCCTCAAAGCCAATCAGCAAGTTGAAAAGATTGAGCCAATATCTCTTCCAAAGGCAGGCCTGGATTGGTCACAGCAGGTGCCTGCTGATTTTGCAGAACCTAGGCAGCTTGCAAAGCTTATTTTTTCAGTTTCTCAAACATCCTAGGGGCTGGAGCGGTGGCCATCGTGGTAAACACAGTCTAATTCCACAAGCACTGCTCTGTTGTTTTAGAGCGTGGGACACAGCTTTCGCTGAGAGGGCCACTCGCTGGCCTAGTCCGCAGGGAGATGACGCATCTAGTGTCAGGGAGAAAATGCAATATTAATTCGGGAGAAATTTGGCCCAGAGTGTACAAAAGCGAGCCTTTCAGGTTTCCCTGCTGAGGAAGCTCGTGTGCTTCGGCGCGTGTGGGGCTACACAGGGTCTAAGCCAGCAGCCGGTATGAGGCTGGAAGAAAGACCCCAGACCTTTTAGGAAGAATGAGAAGGGTAGCCGCCTCTCTGGCAAAGTCTATATGTCAGTCTCGTTTCAGAAGCCCTTAAAGCCCAGATGTCAGAGGTCTTTCTGGCTGGAGTAAATGCTCCTCTCTGAGGCTATTTACCAAAAAGGAAGACAGAAGGCTTCCTTTGGTTGGTACATAAGGGGAGGTGGGGAACAAGGAAGAAGTTGACAAGTTCAGGGACAAGGTCTTAGCAACAGTTGGATTTGGGAATTTCTCCTCCTTAGAGATCGGGAAAAGCTCTTTTCTCATAGAAAAACATGTGGATTTGGGGGCAAAAAAGAAAAGAAAGAGAAAAGCGCAAACATTCTTTAAGTGGAAACATTACTTTGGGAAATGCTGAGCAGAGTCAAGGGGGTGCTGAGGGAAATGCTGAGCAGAGTCAAGAAAACCCATGTTTTCTTGAATTCTCAGAATGCGAGGAATGGGTTCCACGGTCTGCAGCTCTGCCACTTGGAAATACCCCAGGCTAAGTAAGGGTAAAGTGACCCAGAAAACCAGTTCTTCTTGACTTCTAAGGCAGGTGCAACTGTGGATAGCCCAGGCCTCCTTCGAAATTATCTTGGATGCCCTAGGATAACTCATCTCTTTAAATGCATGTTAAAGGCTGGCTACTGTGTTTACTACATTCGAGCCTCATTTTTGTAATGATTTTAAAACTCAGAATGAACAATACCACATGTGTGATGTTTTGGTTGCAAACATTAAAGAAACTGGGTAATAATAAACAGCTGTTGAAGTTAACGTCCACTGTTAAACCCATGAACCACTTCAAATTCCTTGGTGAGATAATCTGAGATAACGAAGACTCCAGTGAGTTTAGTAATTCCGTCATGACATTTTAATTCCACCATAGATGAATATTGTTAAATAAAATTAGGTAAGGTGAATGACACAGTAAGACCAGTAGTTCTCCTTGGGACTCTATCCATTTTTCAGATGAAGAAAACACTGTCGAGAATATGATGTTCAACATATGTAAGACAGATTCCACTTGTATGAGGTATCGAAAGCAGTCAAACTCTTGAAAAACAGAAAGTAGAGTGATATTGCCAAGGGCTGGGGGAAGGAGCAAAGGGGAGTTGTTCAGTGGGTATAGAGTTTCAGTTTTACAAGATGGGAAAATTCTAGAGGTCTGGTGAACAACAATGTGCATAGAATTAACACTGCTGTACTGTATGCCTAAAAATGGTTCAGAGGGTAAAGTTGGGGTTATATGTTTTTTTTTTGTTTTTTTTTTTTTTACCATAATAGAAAAAAGAAATGTAAGACCGTACTCTACAATGGATTAGGAAAATAGGGAGTGTTGTGCAAAGTCATTTATCAAGCATTTAATTTTAGACCGGTTCACCTGCAGAAACACTTTTGACTGATTCATTAGATTCAAGGTGAGATGACAGAGCAATGAAAATCTTAGCACCTGGGTGTTTGTCAATGTCTCCTCAGTGGCCCTGGAGGTAAGTCGCAAGGATGCCAACTACATAGGTGACTATCAGAGTTTTTAGATCCTAAAATTTCTCAGCAGAATAAAGATGGCAAGCATGGTTCCATAAGTCATACGCAAGTTTCCACTAAAAACATCATACTCCCACATTATTGTATGAGTAAATACGACAAAATGTGACCCCGTTGTGACTGTGGCTGTGTAGATTGTGGCACTAATGAGACCGAACGGGAGAGTCTGTCTGGCTTGTCTTTTCTACTCATTAGGCAAAGGGGGTTTTTTGGGTGGTGGTGGTGAACGCAGTATTTGATTGTGGTATAGATGGTGGGCAGTCTTTCTACCTGATGATTCTGAGTATAAGAAAGCTCTCGGACCCATTCTCAGGGGGGTGGAATCTCAGGGTGGAGTGCAAGACTCTGTCAGAGTATTGCATTATGTCTAGGGATAAAGGCCATCCCCACTCCACATCCAGGAAAAGCACGAATAGTGAAGGTGGGCTACAGGTGGATCTGCCTCTGGGCGATCTCAACTCTGCAGTTGGCCTTTGTTTTATTCCGACAGTGATACCCAGAGGAGACTGAAAGACAGTGAGAGTGTGACAGGCAGAGTATGGCAGGCAGACACAGAGCAAGAGGCAACCAGAGGAGACTTGGAGATGCATCAGGAAACAGACACAAAGATATTCAGACCTGGGCGCAAACATAGAGCAGCAGAGACGCAGATGGACATGAAAAGAAAAAGACAAGCAGAGTGACCATGTCAGAGAGAACATGTGATGTTAGAAACAGAAAGATTGAACAAAAAAGCATAGGTCAGATTGTGCATTTGAGGGAGTAAAAGACAGTATAATCAGGGAATGAGAAAGAGAGACAGAGGGTCGTTGATTTTCTGGGACTGAGAATTATCAGGATGCAAAACTGCATTTTTCTCTAATGATGAATACCTCCCTCCTGCCTCCTAGCATTTCTCCAAAGAGATCGTGACTGGACTGGTAGCATTTCAGTGGGTCCCCTTCCTGTTTCTCTTCTGTGTTAGACCAGTTTTCATAAAAGAAGAGTTAAGAGTTATATTTCATAAAATTACTGATTTTCTAACCGATTCTTCTTGGTGGGTTTTGGAAAAGTCAAGAAGTATATCCATAGCTAACAATATATTTATTTGGGCATAGTTCTAGTTACTTTATATTTACTATAGAACCTCTGGAAAAATATTCATTCAACCCAGTACCCCGGTCCCTTAGGACCAAAGGAATCTGCCCCCATCTTCCTGACATGCCCACACCTCTGTGATGTCTCCTCTAGCTCTGTTGTCACTTTGAGGTGCAGGTAGCAATCACTCTGTGCTGATGCCTATCTTAGACGTTTGCATGTCACCAGGGGAACCATTCTGCCTCTGGAGGCATCTTGGGTCACCACTTTCCTCCAGCCCAGGTCACCTTACAGTATGAATCAGATGTGTCTGCCAGGAAGCCACAAGGGCTAAAAGAGCGTCGGGGCCACTCTTATTGTGTCTCTGCCACTCCGTGTCGGTGGCGCATGTTTTGCTGCTGGTCTCTGTAGATGGAGTAGAGGAGGAAGACTTTCTGGATCCCCGTGCGTGCTGGCCCCTGCTCCGAGGTCCCGGTGTGGGCCAGTCTCTCAGGGGGGCGCTGCGGGACGTGAGGACCGCATCAAGTCATGCCGCAGGGCCTGGAAGAGGCTAACGAGGGACTGGGCCCAGATGTCCTTCTGATAGCCCTGGGACAGGGCTGTGCGGTAGGCCGCGTAGGCTAGGGTCAGCACTGTCCTTTCAAAGTCTTCCTTCTTGAGGACGCCGGGGCGGCCGGAGAGGCTGGCGCTGAGCCTGCGGATGTCTGGGATGCGCTTGGGGATGACGTCGTTGCAGACGGTGCGGAAGTCTGAGGCCTTCCGCAAAGAGGCGAGCTCCTCGTCCTTGATGGAGATCCTCAGGTCAGGGCCGATCTCGAGTTCAGCCAGCAGGAACTGGTGAGAAACATGGGATGTGCAAAGACATGAACCTGGGCGTTGCTGAGGACACAATTATACGCATCATCTCATGCATTCACTCAGGGAGGCAGCTGCGGAAAGAGCTCTGGACCTCCAAGAAACCTGGGTTCCATCGGGCTTCCCTCTTACTGTGTAACCTTGGACGACTTACTTAACTTCTCTGAGCCTCACTTTCCTTCTCTGTAATAATGATTGGTGACAACATCTACTTCACTGGGGTGTTAGGAGAGTTAAATAATACAAACATGGACAAATCTAATATAGTGCCTGGTACAAAGCCAGTATTTAAGCGACCAATTATTATTTCTAGTGTCCTGGATCAATCCCTTCTTCCCTTTCTCCCTTTCACCCACTAAAGATCTTCTCAGGCATAAACTGACTATTTCAGATAGTTTTAAAGCAGAAGCCGGGAGTTTGAAGGGTGCAGAGGATGGTGCTAGGGACTAAGTGGGACATAGAGATTGTCCGCGTCTCTCACCTGCCCACTGAGAGCAGGGGCTGGGTCGGTCATGTGCATCCCTGCACGGGGCCAGGCTCACAGATGGAAATAATAAATACCTCTGGGATGGAATGACTCCACATCTTAACTCTTCTTTCCACCTCCCTCTTCCCCCGCTCCAACCCACCCTCCGTGGTACTGTCTGTGGTTTTCCTAAAACACCAGTCTGTCATATGACTCCCATGTTCAAGACTTGGCAAAGGCTACGCATTTTCCATTCTTCTCCCTGGGCAGGATTTGAAATCTCCCCCCAGCTCAACTGCGTGGCTACAGCAGCAGCTGTTTCTTTCTTAACCTGACAGTCCTAGTGCACGGAGTCGGGGGATGTCAAAGCTGGAGGGGAATTTTGGAGACTGTAGTTGATTCTCATTGAACAGTTGAGGAGAGTCAGGCCCAGAGACAAGTGGTGGCTTGGGCAAGGTTGCACGGCGGAGGGAGAGGGGCAGAGCCAGGACTGAAGCTCAGATCTCGAGCCTGGGATCATATCACTGAACTGAACCCAGCAGCCTCAGGAAATTTCCCCTTGTGGTTTGGGGGAGGGTCTCAGAGATGCAGGGTGAGAGGCAGAGGGCGAGGGCCTGTGGGGTGGCCCTGGGCATCCAGAAGCCCAGCTGGGTTAGCAGGGCAGCCAGACGGCATGGCTGTTGCAGCTTGCAGGGTCTTGGCGACAGGGCTGCACCCAGACAATGCCTCGGCATTGCCCGACGAGTCCTGCGTCAAAGCCTTTGCGTGGGAATATTACCACACTCCAGTGCCTACGGGCGCCGGGACTGGTGCCTGTGGGCCAAATTTTATCTCTAATTTTGCCTGGAGCGAACTCCTGACGCCATCATTCCCTGTTATAGCACATGGGAGAGGAGAGGAGGTACAGGGAATACCTCACTTTGGAATGAGCAGGATTCTCTGACCTCCTCCAACTAGCCTAAGCCATTCCCTACCACAGAAGAGACCCCTCATGTTCGGGGGCTTGGGTCACTTCTCCTTCTCCAAAAAGACAGAGAAGACGCAGTGCTTTCGGGGCGACTTGAATGGACCGCGTTCCCCTCTGCCTACCTCGTAGAGCAGCTCCACTTCCTCCAGGGAGGTCTGCAGGACCGGGTTCAGGGGCACGGAGGAGGACCTCTTCGGCCGATGGGCAGCAGGGAAGAGCACGGCTGCAAGAAACACAAGCGTGAGCTCCCGGGCGCTGCGTGTGGCCGGTCTGTCCCCCAGGGGAGCCTTGAGGGTAGCCAGCGGGTCTTGAGAATGACTGACTTGAAGTGCTGGCGGACACAGGGTGGGAGAGGCGACAGACTCCCTGGTGTGTCCCAGAAAACTCTCAGGCATGTTATATCAGTGGTTTCAAAGCTGCTGCTTGGCGGGGCGCGGTGGCTCACGCCTGTAATCCTAGCATTCTGGGAGGCCGAGGTGGGAGGATTGCTTGAGCTCAGGAGTTCGAGACCAGCCTGAGCAAGAGTGAGACCCCCATCTCTACTATGAATAGTATAAAATTAAAAAAAAAACCTGCTGCTTATCAGAACCATGTGAGAAAGTTTTGAAAAAATGTATATGCTTGGGAATTTATTTTATTTAATTTATTTTTTTTTTATTTTTTAAATGAAGATTTATTTTGCCCCAGTACATCACCATTTTTGTACCACATGCAAATGAATGAACTTTGGCATTAATGAATTCTGTTAGAAACTTGTGATACTCTTGATGCATTGCCAATTAGTCTACAAGGTGAAAGGCCCCAATAATATCCAGACAGTTTCAATTGGCTTTATTTTACTTTTGAGGAATTTAAGATTTTTGAATGGAGTTCCTTTCTTCCTCCTTTTTTTCTTATTTTTTTTTTCTCTTTGTTAATGGGAATTCTTTTTTGTTTTTTTTATTTTGGCATATTATGGGGGTACAAATTTTAAGGTTTCAATAAATGCCCTTTCCCCCCTCCCCCCACAAGTCTGAGTTTCCAGCGTGACCATCCCCCAGATGGTGCACATCTCACTCATTATGTATGTATATACCCGCCCCCGCCTGGGAATTTATATTAAAGCAAAGCAAAATAAAACAAAACAAGTGAGCGAGCAAAGAAAAAGCCCCCAATTCCCGGAAACGACGGTTCCCTAATAGTACTGCACATCTTAGCACTTTATTTTGTCAGGACGAAGTGCTGGTTGATTTTATTCACAACCCTTTTCATCAGAGCATCAGACTTCTGGCTACCCCAGCCATCTGAAACATACCTGCCAAGAACCTGAACACAGGTGACAAAATAAAGGAAGAGCACTGCCCAAGATGCTGACCCTTGGATCTAGGGAACCATGCGGCCAAGCTCAGGGCTGGCAGATTTAGAAACGCATTAAGTATAAAGTAAGTCGATAGACAATGTCGTTTCCCAGTGGTTGCATGCAGAAGTGGTAGCTGCGGGGAGATGGACGGGTTACTAGAGGCACACAGGATAGCAAGAATTTTGCACCGGCTGAGGACAAGTGAGGGAAAAACCAAAACATGAGAGAGTGTAGGAATGATCACTATAAATTGCAGTGCCAGGCTAGGGACAAATAGCCCCGACCCCCTCCACAGCACTCTGCCGCTGACGGAGGAAGGTGCAGCTTCTTCAAGACATTTGATTGTGATCTTCTTTTTTTTTTTTGAGACAGAGTCTCGCTTTGTTGCCCAGGCTAGAGTGAGTGCCGTGGCGTCAGCCTAGCTCACAGCAACCTCAAACTCCTGGGCTCAGGCAATCCTCCTGCCTCAGCCTCCCGAGTAGCTGGGACTACAGGCATGCGCCACCATGCCTGGCTAATTTTTTCTATATATATTAGTTGGCCAATTTCTTTCTATTTATAGTAGAGACGGGGTCTCGCTCTTGCTCAGGCTGGTTTCGAACTCCTGACCTCGAGCAATCCGCCCGCCTCGGCCTCCCAGAGTGCTAGGATTACAGGCGTGAGCCACCGCGCCCGGCCTGATTGTGATCTTCTGAAAAAACTGGGGAAATAACTGTAAAACTCTGAGACTAGGAGGTGAGTGGCTCGAGGAAGCTGTGCAAGCACACTTTGCATTATCATAAGTGACAGCTCTGTCGGCTGATAATGGTGCCCTTGAGCCACGGAGAAGAGGTCAAATTATGTTCGGTGTACTCTGTTAAAGAAGGCAGGGATGATGTAAAGCACTTTGGAAGGATTTCCATCAGAAGTGATAAAAAATGAAAGGGACTTTCCTGAAAAGCTTGTTGGTAGGAATCTCCCACTTGCCAGAAAAGCTGGTTGGATGTGGCATTGCTGTCATATTGCCCTGCCAGGCACCCGTGCATGGTCTATACCACAAGTTCCTCAGGGGCTGGGATAAATCGGTTTTAGGTTTCTGTATCTGCAGCAGAGCCTGGCAGGGTCCGGGGTGTACACCAGGCGCAGCTGCTGACCTAGTCCCCGCACGGGAGGAGGCCCTGCCTGGCAGAAAGAGCAGCTCGGCTTCCTCACACCATTCCTGGGGAAGGAGCTGATGAACTTCAGGGCAATGTTTCCCAGCCCAGCATCTTAGCAGAATTTATTTTCTTTGCCAGAAAAGAGCCAGTTTCCCAGGGAGTCATAGATTTTCGGGCTTGAGGAAGCCTTCGCTGTGTTCAACCCGTGGTTGAACTGTGGTTTCAGGTGCCTGTGGTTGCAGGTGGAGCCCAGGAGAGAAACGGCTCTACTATAAATAGAAAGAAATTAATTGGCCAACTAATATACATAGAAAAAATTAGCCGAGCATGGTGGGGCGTGCCTGTAGTCCCAGCTACTCGGGAGGCTGAGGCAGGAGGATCGCTTGAGTCCAGGAGTTTGAGGTTGCTGTGAGCTAGGCTAATGACAGCCAAGGCTGAGAAGCACTGTCCTTCCTGAGCGTGACCTGAGGTTGTGGAGAACCCACTGCCCCTGGTGTGTGGCCACTCTCAGGTTAGACCAATGGTTCCCAGCTTTGACTATAGATTACAACCTCCTGAGAGCTTTCAGAAACCCAAGTGCCCAAGGCCACACCTCAGGCCAATCTGTGGACATCTCTAGGGGTGAAGTGTAGGCCTCTGGGACGTTTTGCAGCCCTGGTCGATCACACTGGGCAGCCAGGGTTGATAACCGCTGTGTCATCCAGTTCCGAGGCCTTCTACCATAAAACGATTCAAAGCTCATTCCTATTGGATGGAGCCTTCCAAGGGCATCTGAAGAGACCAAGGGCATCATGTTCTCGGAGGCATGGAGTGGAAGCACACGCAAGGCGGTTACTTTGCCTTTGCTTTCTCCTTGGTAGGAGATGAAACCAGGAACACACCTGGTCCTAGATCAAAGTGTGACCCGTTTTTTCCACGTGCTCTTTCCTTCCCACCATGAAAGGATGGACGAAATCCCTTTCTCTGGATAAGATCTGAGAGTGACTTTACTTCTTTAATTCTGCTACTGAAATTTCTCTCTTACTGCAAAATTAAAGATATTGTTCCCTTAAAAAAACAAAAACAAAACAAAACCCCACCTCTCCCCCTCCCCCAGCAGAAGGAGGGCCCGGGGAGGAATGGCAGGGGCGTGGGGCCCATTCTGCTCCCTGTAATCTCAGGCTTCCTGTGGCCACATCCTGGAAGTTATTCAGGATCTTAGACCCGGGCTTTCCTCACTCGATTGTTTCCCTGTGAACAGCAGCACTCCTTCAACAGGCTCGCCCCTGTGGACCCCTGGTTCTCAAAGAGCTGAGAAGAAAACACTTCCTGATTCAAAGCTGAGCCTGATAATGGAAATTTTGTCATTTGCAATAGCCCTTGTTCTCATAGAGAATAATAACACCATTTGGTGGAGATTGTCAGAAATAACTTCAGCCTCTAGACGAGGGGAACAGTTATTGCTTTAGGAAGTATGTGTGGGAGCACAGGAACCTAAAGGTGGCCCCTCCCTCTCTTCCCCTTCCCCCCCAGTCGGTCCACCTGGCCCTCACATTTCTGCAGCTGCTTTGAGCTTGTGCATTGAGCAGGGCGGGGGGGGAGGGGGGATTTATGTCCCTTTAGGCACTAGAGTGCCACCAGCTCTAGGGCGGACACCTCGGTGGCCCAGCAGCTGCCCAGGTCTGGCGCCCTGTTGGAGGTGAGACCCAGAGAGGAGAAACTCCTGGAGATGCTGGAGGTGGTGGGCAAGAAACAGCTTTGTCTCCTCAACGTCAAAACGCACCGTCACCCCAAGATGGTCCTGTCTCTAATGACAAAGGCTGGACCCTGCCAGAAACGCCAACGGCTGAAACGAGGGCTGGCCAACTCCGAGAAGGGCACGTGCAAAGCCTGAAACGAGACTCGCTCCTACGCCGTTAGCGTCACAGCCCCAGGAAGCCTTTCCTGGGAGCCCCGCGCTGTTCCCTCTCTCTCCCGATGCTCTGCCTCCACTCCGCACGTTTCCCCTCTTGCTGTGTGTCATCCTGTGAGGTTTCATCAGGACAGCCCGCCCTGGGGTCGGAGGAAGAGAACGGGGTTACATTTCCGTGGATTGACCTCGGTGTCGTCCTAACGCAGGGCTCCAAGTGCAGTCTCAATATATATTTTGGAATGATTAAAAAAAAATAAACTAGGCAGTAAAAACAAACAAACAAAGCAAAATAACAGCCCTGGAGACTCTTCAGGCTTTGCTGGGTTTTCTTCCTTTCCCTTCCGTCCCATCCCTCCGATTTATGGGGGTCGGTTTAAGTTCAGCTCCCTGCTCGCTGTGAGCCATCAGCCAACTGCTTTGCGCAGCACGAGTCCCGGGGCTGCTGGGAGGGTGGCCTGCGTGCGCCCTGCTGCCCGCCCTGACAACAGAGCCTTTCCTGAGAGCAGGCAGGGGGACTGCAGACCTGCAGGAGGATGCCCTCCCTCCCAGGGGCCACCAGAACACTGAGCCTCTGATATTTTTGTCACTGACTTTGTGTACTTTTTGCTTGGTGTAAAATCCGGCCAATTTGTTTTCTCTCTTTTGCACGTGATGCTCCATGCCCAGCCCACTATCTAGGTCCTACCTGTGCGTGTGAATGTGTCCGTCCTGGGGACCCCTGAGACTCCCCAGAATGGCAGTCTGCAGCACAGGCTGGCCTTGGGTGAAGAAATCAAGCACCCATCCCCTCTTCCCCGACTCCCTGGACAAGTGAGTGTTTATGATATATTGGATCAACCAGCATAGAACAAGTGAAA